AACACAGGTCCCTATATCTAATGATTCTCCATCTTGCAATTCAGATAGAAAACAAACTAAATTTACAGGTCAGCACCAAATATACTTCTCGTCAGAGAACAGACACCTTGGTTCCCTGGTTTCCAAATTTGTACTGGGCCTTGTTCTTGCCTAAATTGTAGCTTTCCTGTTCCTGAATAGAACCACAGTCCTGACCAGTCACCCTAAAAACAGAACATGTCTGGCCGGATCTCAGCTCTGCCATCTCCTACATCACAATAAAAGTCCACATGAAATCCTGCTACCATCCATCTGGCCTGGGGGCAGGGGAGGGGAGGCCGGAAGAAGGTCTGACAAAGGACAGAAAGCAAACAGAAAAGCAGTGCTCAGGAATGTCACGACCAGCATTTCCCAGCCATTGACCCCACAGAGCCTGCCAGACCAAATGGCACGTCCTGCTGCTGGGCCCGGCTTGAACCACACTCCGCCAAGATGGAGGAATAAAAAGCAACTAGAGTCTCTGACCCTGTGTGCTGCACCATCACTTCAGCGTCTCACCTGATCCTCCTCCATCTCCAACTGAATAGCCCAAAGCCCTAACTGCGAAGACCACGTCACTATCTGCCACTGTCCCAGATTTAGAGACTCAACCAGGCCACAAATGGCTACGAACCAATCCAGTGCTATTTAAGCAAGTGTGTCAACCCACCTCAAAGTGAAGAACAGATATTTCTGGAGCATGCAACTTACTCAAAGAAGGGTTACAAGGGGTATATTAGTTTAAAACAACCCATCTGCACTAGAGAACAGAATAAAGCTTTGAATTACATTTGAAAGTAAAGATTTCAGCAAAATTTCCCTAAAGCAGACAGACTTCAACCATGCTCCAGAGTCCCTGGGGGAAGCTGTTTACTCTTCTCTGCCATTAGAAGTTTACCAGTAGAAAAGTCTGAGAAGCAAGCCATTGGGTGCACTTGAAACCTAGAACTCAAGTGACCAACGCTTCCCATGGACACATCCTTTAACATGACAGCAACATCAAAAAAGCCACTTCATTACAGAATTCCCTACCAAACCGGTGAGGAGTTCACAGTGAGTGGGCTCCTCGGCATCCATTGCCCCTTTTCTCTTCTTAGTGTGTGTATAGATACATTTGGATGGGAACCCACTCCCTCACATACAGCCTATCTACTTTGGAAAAACCTGGTTCAACTCCAATCTTAAACACCATTTTCTTAAGTCGCTCAGGTCATGCCATTGCCAGGCCACAGTCAATGGTTTGAGGAGGGAGTGTGACTCCGGCAGCTTAACCAGGGTAAATCTCAGGACTCTGACTTGGAATGCCAGAAGAGAAGCACTGCCTCTTCTAGCCAGCACCGTGCGGGAATGCAAAGCCTGGAACGCTGCAGCTGGTTGCTACTATGAAGCCTCAGAACGAAGAAACAGCCAAGGAAGGCAAAGCAGACAGTAAGTCACAAAGTCCTTAGTGATACCAATGAGTCACGAAATCAAACCAATTCTGAAAGCAAAATGACTTCTGGACTTCCAGGTGAACCGATATGGGTGTGATGGCCACTTGCAAAAAGCACATTCTGACACAACCTGACATTTCCGACTAACTCCAGAATGCCTCGTTCTACCCAGAGCTTCAGGTTTATTACGACAGGATGACAATAGTCTGCTTCCAGGGTCAGCTGCTGCAGATCCAGAGGATCACTAGGGGTTGTGGATGTTTTAGAGAGTCGATAACTCATTCCCAGGGGCAAAGCAATCCCTCATGAGAGCTCTGGGAAGGTACAGACTATTTTTCATTTCTAGATATGTTGGAGGAGGGAGGGGAAGAGGAGATGGATGGCAGGATGTTAGAACTGAACCCCCCGATTTAGAGCTGGTTCACATAGGAGATTGCTGAGGCTTTGGGTGTACCCAGAGTTCAAAAGTCTGGGGCAAGGGTCTTTCTGTTCACTGGCCCCCTTATTAGACATAGCTGTGAACATACAACACTGTTCAATATGCTCACATGATGGATTATCCCTAGACAGTCACCCACTTTTATAACATAAAATGAAGCTATAAGACCATAAAAGATTTTTTTTTTTTAAACTGCATCTTCATTTTCTTGGAAAGAACTGAAAAACAGAGAGAAGTACAAGAGAGTAAAATGTTACATGTCATATTAACTTAGCCTTGGGCACCAAGCTAGACAATTTTGCAGCAACCCATGAACAAAAGCAAAGCAGGAGTATTATCAGAATAAGAGCCAGAAAGAGATTTCCCCAGGGAAGGATACATGGCATGTGGGGCTGGACAGCGTGGTAATCAAATTTATCATGCAGCTTTTTTTTTAATTACAAAAGCAATATATGCTTGACTTAAGTCCTACAATACAGAGGTCTAAAAGAATAACCTTCCCCGTCCCCATGCCCTATCCCAACCCACCCCACTATGGTACCCAAAGGTAACACGCCTGTCTCTCTGTACATACAAATACATACAAACATATGTATATATTCATAAACCCCCACACACACCTTTTACAAAAGGATCATACTATACACATTACAAAGGCACACATCTCATAAAAAACATTAATTGATATGACTATCTGGAAGCGGAAATCAACTTTCTGCTTTTGTTTTATAACCAGAAAGGGCATTTAGAAAATAAAATTACATAGAGCTGAAATCCAGACCTTTCGTCTGCTAAAGACTCATGAATGTTAACACTTGGCATTCTGTTAAAAAGGTGATTGTTTTATTTTTAGTGGCCACAACAAATCAGGTATTTGAATGCACGTAATGTTCTACTCTCCATTTAAAAGTGAATTGTGCTTCTCAGAGCCAAAAAGAAAAATGATCGGTAACATTAGTTACAATATAATTGATTCTGCCTATCTCCATCTCAAAGACCAATGTTTAAAGTCTGTCTTTTATTTGATATCAGACCACACTTTCAATTAAAGCTGCAGAACCCCCAGCTTTCCCACCTGAAAGCAGAACTGCTACACTTGGAGGGAAGGTGACACCAGGCGGCACTGCCAAGCCAAACAATGCCATCCCCTGCTCTGCAGCAGCGTTTTATACCTTTTCCATTTGGATCAGCACTTTAAATAATCGCATCTCTGAACTGTAAACACACTTCAGTTTAGTATCCAGGTATCAAATTAAGACTCCAAAAACATGCCTCATATTACCATCAACCTTCCCCCACCTCCACCAATACAAATTGAGAAGAACGAAAAGGTCAATTCCTAGATGACGACTACTCTCTCATAAATAACTTACTCAAAATCATCCTTGAAACATGGTTGGTGCTGTGGTCTCAATGTTTCCATCTCCCTAAAGTTTATATACTGAAAGCTAGTCACCAATGTCATGTTCTAGGAGGTGGGGCTTTGAGAGATGACTAGGTCATAAGGAAGAGCTCTCGTGAATGGGATTAGTGCCCTCATGAAGGAGTATTCCTCTTCCGACACGTGAGGACACAGTGTGAAAGCACCATCGATGAACCGGAAAGCAGACCCTCACCAGACATTGAATGTGCCAGCCCCTTCATCGTGGACTTCCCAGACTCTAGAACTGTTGAGAAACACATTTCTGCTGTTTATAAGCCACCTAGCTTATGGTATTTTGGTATCGCAGCTCCAACATATGAATAGAGTTGGCTATCTAGAAAAGAGAGCTATCTATGACGTGAAATAATATAGCTGATAATTTGCATATAATTTTACAAAACATTAGTTCCACAAAAATTAAAACTGATCCTACTTATATCACTGTATTATCTCTTTTATTTATTTATACTTCCTCCCTAGAATGATAGACAGGAAAATATTAAGCATGCCCAATAACCCAGTTCTTCTCCATGCACAGATGCACATTTTAAAAAGGAGGAAAGGAACTCAGGAAGTGAGGCAGAGTCCACTAAAACTCCTCCCATCCAATACATTCTGTTTCCTTCTCAGCTGCAGGTACAGGGAATCAATGCCTCATTTATTTGGTTAATTAACAGCACATCTTTACTTCTACAGATGCTTTATGTAAACTCCAGAAAAGCTGCAAATAAATGTATTTTTTATTCATGTTTTAAAAATATTTTAGAGAACCTGGGCCGGGCGCGGTGGCTCAAGCCTGTAATCCCAGCACTTTGGAAGGCTGAGACGGACGGATCACGAGGTCCGGAGATCGAGACCATCCTGGCTAACACAGTGAAACCCCGTCTCTACTAAAAATACAGAAAAACCTAGCCAGGCGAGGTGGCGGGCGCCTGTAGTCCCAGCTACTCGGGAGGCTGAGGCAGGAGAATGGCGTAAACCTGGGAGGCAGAGCTTGCAATGAGCTGAGATCCGGCCACTGCACTCCAGCCTGGGTGACAGAGTGAGACTCCGTCTCAAAAAAAAAAAAAAAAAAAAGAGAACCTGACCCTGTGAAATCCTTTATAAAGACTTTTTACAACAGGAAATTTTCTCCTATTATTGCATATACATATTTATGCTTCTGTTTTTGTACATGGCAATAGACTTTTGTATAGCAGGACATGACTATAGCCAAATCTTCAGGGACCAAGCACATATTATTATCTGATAATCTGCTCCTGTCCCTACTAACTACAGATGTCGAGAAAGTTTATGTCTTTTTTGACAGTTTACTGCCTTGCATTTCAATGAGTAGCTTCTCCCTGATTAGACTTTGTTAATCTTATGAAGGTATCCAAGAAGACGCCTATGGATTTCAAAATTCCTTCTAAATTCCTCAGAGGGCAGTATTCTACTTGCTTTAGAATGCTCCCAACATCCACTACAATAGTTGCACACAGTTGATCATAGAAAGCAGACTGACTTGTCTAACCCACATTAATCATGTGCCAAATCAGAAAAAACTCAACTCTTTATGAGGGTAGAAGCAAATATCACTGGACTCACACAGAGAGAAAAAAGAAAGAAGAGTCTGAGGAAGAAAAGACAGCTCTCTGGCACAAAATACAAAGTCTAAACACTACAGATGACCTTCATGTGTACTTACGTATATTTCACTGTGGTCAAAGCGCTTCTTGAGGTTGTTGATGAAGGTCTCCTCATTGAGAGGTTCTAAAAGAACCATATCCCCAACTCCAATCATATTGTCCAGAAGTGATGTTTTCACCTCCATTTTGGCCATGGTCTCCAGCTGTAGGAGAGAGGAAAAGGGGTCAATTTAAATGAGCAAAATAATTTCAAATAGGTTCTTGGCACTACTGCAGAAATCCAACACTGGTAGTTCCAAATGACTCTCACCAGCCTTAAAAAATGTCATAACCTCTCCTACCTATGAACTACTTCAGGAGCCTCTGACTTGGCTGCAGCTGCTGCCCCATTTGCCAACCTGCTGCCACAAATGAACCTCCTTCCCAGTCCATCCTCCCTAGTAAAGTCCACCTACAGAAAAAGCCACTAGAAAGCCATGGTCTTCTCCCCAGCAGAGAGTCGCAAAACTCCAGGGGGGAAAAAAAACAACCCAACTCCACTTTCCCTCAGCCCTTGTGTACCAATGTCAGACTATATGAACCTGCTTCCTCGAAGATGATAAAAAATGATGTTGCTAACATTTGTTATCTATTTGCCACATATCAGACACTATACCAAGAACTTTACATTAATTTAACCCTCACAATAACTCTATGAGGTAGGTAGTGTTAGTCCCACTTTAACATAAGAAAATTGAAGCTCAGAGATTATGAAACTTGCTATGGTTACTTAAAAATGTTTTGCATTTGATGTGAAAGAACTCAATCACCACGTCTAACAAGGCATCTACGGGAGGAAATTTCATTCCAGACATTCAATACTGACATATAAAGAAAAGAACACAACCCACTTGTAAATCACAGGCTGCCAGTATAACATAACCTGCTAAAAGTGGCCTCCACGTTCTTAATTCTCATTCCAACAGACATGCTACTATAACAGCAGGATCAAATTAACATGCAGGAAACAGACAAGAAATACTACAGTTTCCCTTTGGCTCAATGTGAAAATCTACCAAGCGGAAACAGAGGCACCCTACAGAGGCAGCATTCTACCCTGCTACTAATGTGCATGGTGCCACCCAACAGCAGAATGCTAATCCCCATGGCTTCCAATCTGATCACTATTACGAGTACTAAAAATCTTTCAAATTTCTGAGCATAGGAGTGTGTGGGATATGTGTGTGTGCACACATGTGTCTGTATTACTTTTCCTAATATTACCAGAACTAAATGGTAAAATGGTAAAACTAAATTCACCTGGGCCTAAGTGTTTCCAATGTAGAAGTCAGTTTTATATAACTTCAGTGTGCTGATACTCAATCACACTTCAGAATACTAATAAATGCTTACATATATGCCTGCCCCTGATAATGAGTGGAAAGGACATTTGATTCTTCCTATTAAGGAATCACTCCAGCACACTATGTCTTATAAAGGTTGGTGTCCTTACTGAAATCTCAGCAACTTAAACAAATGTCCTCCAATTCTAGTCTAGAACATCCAGTAGGTCTTGTAGAGGCAACAGAAACTACATTTAGTTGGTCTGGTTTAAAGAGAACTGGGGGGAGAAAAAAAAAAGAGAACTGGGAAGGGCTAGTAATTAAGAAATTCATTATTACTAATTACTAGCAATTTATATGAACCCACAAACATATCCTTTTTTACTGATCCTATTAAAACAAGTTTTTGGCTACGAAAAGCCAAAAAAAGAGAGACTAAGATGAATTTATGAGAGGTTCTCCCATAAATAACAAAATAAGGAAGTATTTAACATTAAAAAGAAAAACAATAGAGTAACTTTTTTGTTACTGTATGTTTTTTATAATTTTATGCCAAATACACCTGGAACGAAAAATCCCAGATAGGCCAGGTGTGGTGGCTCACGCCTGTCAGCACTTTGGGAGGCTGAGGCAGGTGGATCATGAGATCAGGAGTTCAAGACCAGCCTGGCCAAGATGGTGAAACCCCATCTCTACTAAAAATGCAAAAATTAGTCGGGCATGATGACAGTGCCTGTAATCCCAGCTACTAGGGAGGCTGAGGCAGAGAACTGCTTGAACCCGGAAGGCAGAGCCTGCAGTGAGCCAAGATTGCTCCACTGCAATCCAGCCTGGGCAACAGAGTGAGACTCTGTCTCAAAAAAAAAAAAAAAAAAAAAAAAGAAAGAGAAAGAAAGAGAAAAGAAGGAAGGAAGGAAGGAAGGAAGGAAGGAAGGAAGGAAGGAAGGAGGGAAGGAGAAAGGGAAGGGGAAGGGGAGGCGGAGGCAGAAGCGGAAGTGGAAGGATAAGGGGAAGGGTAGAAAGGAAAGAAAGAAAGAAAGGAAAGAAAGAAAGGAAGGAAGAAAGGAAGAAAGAAAGAAAAGTCCCAGATATCACTAAAACCCAACAACGTCGGCCCAAAGAATTGCTCTGTATATTTTGAAGTTGGCCGGGCTCTGCTCAGAACAAAACTGGTGGGGGTGGGAGGCACGTGGCATGCTATGGAAATGCAGCAGGAGCCACAGAGACGGTGGAGCCAGAGCCAGAGTCCACAGAAGGACTTACACAGGGAGAGGACCATTTGTCACAATAAATTTGTCCACAATAAATTAACATTTGAATCAAAGTTCAAGTTCTCAGGCTCATGTAATGCCAAAAGCACTCTAGCTGCCATGCATTACATATAATTTGGCAGATGAGGGAAGAAGGCATAGGGATTAAGGGGGAAATCAACCTGAGAAGGGTTTCAAAAATAACTACCTCAAACCAGCAATTTAAATTAAGCAAAGAGGAACTCTGCCCTGGGGTGGATTCCTGTATATAGTCTATTTATAGGAACAGCTGCAGAAAGACAACACAGGTTCCCTGCAGGTAACAATAATTAAGCAGCCAATCTTTCTCTGTAATTACCCGCTTCACCATCTTTCCATTGGAAAGATGGTGAAGCGGGTAATTACAAATTTATATCTTTACACCTCATCCCAACTTTCTAATCCAAAGAGGAATAGAGGGCAAAATAAATGCTGAGTTATGGGTACCTGGTAAAAAGTGAAGACCTCTGAAAATTGTATTTTGCAAACCAAAGCCACAATGAAAAGGTGACACCAAGAGTCATTGAGTCATGCAAACAGTTTTGCTTTGTTTTGCTTATATTTTTAGCATTTAGGGACGTTGGGAGAAGATCCAGTGACAGCCTACCTCATTCTCAAGGTAAAAATAGGACACTAAGGAAACGGTGTGGGGTCCTTCCATATTTTCCTACGGTGGTTTCTGGTATTGTGACCACCATCTCTAGCCTTGGTTTGGCTCACTTTGACATCTCAATGAAATTAGTTGGTCTATTTGCTCCACCAAAAGGATTCATTTGTTTTTTCTCTGAAGGAGCTATGTGCTTACCACAGGCACAAGTTTTAGAATCTCTTGCTAACTCCACATTTCCATAAACCATCAGAAGAATTCACATGGGGCTCTAGGGAGAATTAATGGGAATGTATGTAGAGCACTGGGGATACTTTTTGTTGGACACATACTGTTATAGATCTACCTCCTCCCTTCCAAGAGCCCCCACAAGAATCCATGCTGTTCTGGGGAAACCAATTCTACCCAAGTACCAAAAATGAGCATGTGATCTAAGCTAAGTCAATGAACATATTCTCATCTTCTAGCCACTGTAACTGATTCAAGGCTGGACATGTGAATGAGCTTGAGACCGTGGCTTGGAATACTAGGACAAAGGTTCTCTGTCTCTGGATGGCGTGACTTGCAAACATGACACTTGGAATTACGGCAGCCATCTCTACTTTCATGAGGAGAGTTGGTAGGAAGAGGAAGACGACACATGGAGGAGGACAGGGCAAGAAAATTAGCTAGAATTGGCCAGGCGCGGTGGCTCACGCCTGTAATCCCAACACTTTGGGAGGCTGAGGCGAGTGGATCGTTTGAGGTCAGGAGTTTGAGATCAGCCTGGCCAACATGGTGAAACCCTGTCTCTACTAAAAATACAAAAATTAGCCGGGCGGTAGTGGCGCACCCCTGTAATCCCAGCTACTCAGGAGGAGGCTGAGGCGGGAGACTTGCTTGAACCCGGGAGGGGGAGGTCGCAGTGAGGTGAGATCGCACCACTGCACTCCAGTCTCGGCAACAGAGTGAGACCCTGTCTCAAAAGAAAAAAAGAGAAAGAGAAAATTACCTAGAATTATTAGTGCTGGAGCCCTGATGACATCCCAAACTTCTGGATCAAACTGCACTTGAAGCTTGCCCCCATCTCTCAAGTTTTCAGTGATGTAAGCCAATTCGTTCTTTTTATTGTCTAGGCTGTTTGAGTTGGATTTTCTATTATTTGCAACAAAAAAGCATTTTACCTAGCAAAAGACTGGTACCAGTAAGTGAAGTGTTCTAAATAACACACCAAAAAGCAAAAACTGGCTGATCTAAGGCACAGGCTGGAGGGCATGAGGACCTGCTGTCCTGGACTGACAAGATAATCATCTTTGCTATTTTATAGTGAAAGAGTGGACTAAACCATGGTCCATTGTATCTTGAGACTTGGACCTTTGTGCCTGTGGCATTAGAGAATTTGAGAAAAATTCAAGATGCCAGAGTATGGGTTGGCTATTTCTTAAGGATTTATAAGAAAAAGACAAGCTTGTTGTGAAACTGGACTGTCTGAAAGGCCAGAGAGGAAAACATATGGCACTGCTTAGAGGGCTCGCTCTGCCTGGAGGTGGCAGACATAGAGATGTAACCTATCCCAAGCACTACCTCTGCCTCTGTGGCCTGAGAAAGAAATAAGCACTCCCGCCATGCAGATGTAGCCCAGGAGCAGTGTCACCTCACTCTACTGCTTCTTAATGCTTCCTACTAGCCCCAGGTGGATTCTACTACTAAGAACTATGCCAAACTGCAAAGCACCAAGGCCAGGAAACAAATTATCAGACCACGTTCTAGTTTCAAAACTTTGGGACTTGGCAGTATATTCCGTTTGGGTTACTAGCCCAGAAAAGCAGTCTCTCTATCTAAGGGTACCAATTTAGGCCAGCCACAAGCCCACTAACTGGTGCCAGGCAACTCCACAGGCTGTGCCAGTTCTTTTCAGTTGTTTGTTCATCCAAGAACAAAATATATTATTGCAATTGCTCCTTCCCCTATCTACTCTCATCTCAAGAACTTCCAAAACAACTACC